AATGCTCGGACACGTCGATTAGTATTGTTAGTTGCGCACTTTTTTCAACAAAATCTTTTTGTACAGGGTGTCTCATATATCAGTGTCCAATACCAACTTTCAAATTTCAAATGGAACACCCTGTATTTTATTCAATTTTTGGATTCTTCAGAAAATTATAGACATATTTCATGTACAATGTCCTATACCTATCTTCAAGTGTTTCGGAAATATTAAAAAATTAACGTTAAAGAACGATTATTATAATTATTTGATTACACACTCAATATTTATTTACCATTTAGGTTTTAATAAGCAAAAACCATTTCAGTGGACCTGATATGAAATAAAAAAGCTATAAATAGTTTTGTGTTTGAATTTCGTTAACTGCATATCAGAAAAATGGTTCATTTAATTGAAATGCACAAAATAACAATTCTACAGATGATTGGTTATGGAGATAGAACAAGGACACAAATGGAAGTTGTTCGCTTATTTCAAGAAAAATTTCCAAATTTACCTCCTATATTCCAAGGGATAATTAGTAAAATAGAAAAGCAGTTCGCGAGCTTGGACATGTAAAGCAGATGAAAAAAGTGATGATACCAAGTTGGATATTATGCTTGAGTTTGAGGAAAACCCTCTAGACGAAAAGCAGCCCCAATGTTCGATGTTAGCCATTCATCGATTCTTCGAACTTAAAAAAAAATAAAATGCATCCCTTTAAAATGATACCAACTCAGGAGCTCACGGAAGACGATTTTGATAGGAGAACGTATAAATGTAAATGATGGCAATGTTAGATAACAATGTGATCCAATTACAACAAAATTCTGATGAGTCCACCTTTACACTTCTCGGTCAAGTTAATCGTCGAAATTGCCGCTATTGGTCTAAGGAAAATCCTCACTTGATGATCCTGAAAAGGTTAATGTTTGGGCACAAATTGTTAGAGATAATATCATAGGTCCCTTTTTTATTGATGGCAATTTAAATGGCATTAATTGTTTAGAACTGCTCCAAAATAATATCGTGCCTACTGTAACACACTTATATCCTGATCCAGCAAACCCACAAGTTCCAGCGAATATGATATGGTTTCAGCAAGATAGAGCACCGCCCCATTATGAAATTAATGTATGGCAGTACCTCAACCAAATATTTCCAAATCGGTGGATAGGGAGAAGAGGATCGATGGAATGGCCAGCACGATCCACTGATCTGACGCCATTAGATTTCTTCCTATGGGAATATGTCAAAAGTATTGTATACAAAACCAAACCCCTCGACTTAACTGACTTAAGAATACGAATAACGCTGGCGATTAGATCGGTCACACCTCAGATGTTGAGTAACGTTAGAAGTAATTTCTATTTAAGATTAGGATGTTGCCAAGTCGTTCTCGGCGAGCATTTTGAACATCTCCTACATTGAAAATTGTTCTTTTTTGTTGTTTACAATATCAAAAAATAAACAGTATAACTTATTAGTTTTTCAGTGTTGTAGCGATTTTATGTAATTAAATAATTATAATTATGATAATTATCGTTCTTTAATGTTAATTTTTCAATATTTCCAAAACAGTTAAAGATAGGTATAGGACATTGTACATGAAATAAGTCTATAATTTTCTGAAGAATTCAAAAATTGAATAAAATACAGGGTGTTCCATTTGAAATTTGAAAGTTGGTATTGGCCACTAATATATGAGACACCCTGTACAAAAAGATTTTGTTGAAAAAAGTGCGCAACTAAAAATACTAATCGACGTGTCCAAGCATTTTTAGGAACATGCCCCCATTTATGTATTATCAAATTTATTCCATTTGGCTGATACACACTGTATAAATTACACGTAAGAAAATAACTACTCACCACATTACCTACTGAAATTTTGACTGGAACTATACGTGCATTTACCACAATTTAGCCGCTTGTATTGTTTTGAAGATGACTTTCGTGCAAAGGGCGGGCTCTCTAGGTAATTTTTTACCAACCCTTGAGTTAAAACGAGGACTTGACGTTTAAACTTCAATATTTCGCAGGAATTTTAAATTTTAACATTGGACACAGAACTGACGGGTAAAAGTGAGTACAAAGATTATCATTTTTTTTTAAATTGCTATTATTCGAATCTATGACAAAATATAAAGAATACATAATTTAATGTCTTATACATCACCCATAATTTGTTTTTATGGTTCCCCATTAAAAATATAACCAAAAATTTTAAAATAAATTTTATTTTTCATTACATAGCGAAATCCTGCTGAGAGCAATAAATTCCTGCCATTACAAAGCCACTTCAATCGCTCAGAAAAAAAAACAAATTCAAAAATTCCTGCAATATTGCCCTGCTATTTATGACATCCGTGCGTTGAAATCTTGCAGGAATCCATTATGCCGCCGACACAGAACAGGACCTCCAATATGGGATTAGTAAAATCCTGCTGGTCCCGGCAGCATTTAATCGCTATCGATGTGTAGCAGGATACGGACGGAATACAAATTGTTTTAATTTGTAAGGGCGGTTTTTGTTGTTTTTAAATTACACCTCGTCGGTTGTTTTTTTAAATGCTTTGCAGGCTTTATTGCAGGAATGTTCCTGCGGGCATTAAACAAGGCATTTAATTATGTTTGAGTCGGAAAAGTGATATTTTATATTTACACCTACCCACGCCTATTTTTACTTTATATTTAAAACATTTTTTTATTTTAACTATATTGTTAATTTTAACCAAATATTAACGAAATTTTATGTTAATTCAGGTCCACATAACATTATCTTAATCTGTTAAGTAAATGAATAGGTAGTTTGTAATTATAACAAACATTTTGTAGATTTAACAAAATCCTATATTAATATTTCAACCATATATTTTATAATTTTCACAAACCCAGTAACAAAAGTATTTGTTGTAAATTGGGATCTTAAATGAAAAGAATTTTGATAAGAAATGTTGCTTTATTAATCAATTTTTCCAACAAAAAAATTAACACATACTTTCATGAATGAACACAAAAATATTATACGGGTCGTTTTCAAAAAACATGCGCCTTTCAATGTCCGTATGTTTGAATTCGCATGTCCCATTAGCGTTTTATAAAACTTACATACATGTTTTTTTTTTTAAATATGAAATAACCCGAACTTTGTGTTGCTTTATGGCAATCCATAACATCCTTAGTTAATACAGTAAACAATTTATATATAAAATAATTAATTTTAATCTACTTTTTTTAATTAGACTCATGTCCCAGACATTTTTTCCGTTGCGTTACGTCCGTCGCGTTACCGATAGAATATTTAAAAAAACCATATATATGGCTACTTTTTTGGTACTCACGTGATCAACAAATGATGTTCGGACGTACACATTACCCAGCTGAATTTATTTATTCAATCAGAAAGAAGATATCGGTTGAAACAGGTGCGGCTAACGCGAATGTAATAATTGTTTGTCCGCTAAGTTACTCAAAAAAATAATAAAAATAAGGTAAGAAAAAATACTATTTTTCATGTTTATGTTTATTTTAGGGCACTAAAGCTCATTGAGAGTAATTAATGACAATATTATTTTTTAAATATGGTTTTACAAAACTTTGTCCACTGCGTTACCGAGTCCACTATGTTACCTTATGGTAACGCAATGGAATTTAGGGTAACGCAATAGAATTTTTCGACAACAAAGTGGATATTTACCGTCGCTTTTATTAAAAGTAGTTTAGGATTAACCAATTTAAAATTATTTGTAATTACAACTCATGATATAGATTACATCCAAGGAAAAATTCCACGCAATATAAAAGTACTAAAAGGGACCTTCACCAGCTTATAGTCAAAGAAAAAGGGTGTCTACAATTTATAAATCTAAGTTGTTATTCTGCAAGTGAGCACCACTAGAAGGGATTTTGTTTATGCATTACTCTAAAATCGTACCACCCTATATAGTTTCTTTTTTACGCAAAGTCCTTTGTGTACCCCTGTCCGTTGTGATACCAATGTTTATTTCGTTACTTTTTTTAGTTTTTGTTAAAAAAAATACCTACTTAAAATGATTTTTATACACTATCACTTGGTGATAAATGTGTTTATAAATTAGAGTTTAATTCACTAATACAGTGACTAAAAGAAAATATTAATGGTATTATTTTTTTAACAAAGAATCGGAATGGTTTCTTTTAAAAAGTAACTTAACGAACATACATATTTAAAAAAAACATACGATTTTTAAGAAAAAATAAAATAAAAAATTGGAGTCAAAAGTTTGTGTACTAAGTACATTTTATTTCAAATTATTTTTATGACAACTTTTTTTATTGAATTAAATTTTGGATTTCAAATTGGTAATAGAGATATATAAAGCTAGCTTAACACATTTTTCTGAAAAAAACGTAAAAAAAATTAAAAAGTGCACTGCCTGTCTTAAATGTAAGTAAACAAATCTCTAAACATTTATAAAATTCCAACCAAAAGTCAATTTAAGCAAAACAAATATTTTGATCTTCATTTTCCTGAAAGCGGGTGTTTCTTGAAAATGAGGTATAAGAAATCCGAATAACAATAATAACAGTTATCTGGTAATTTATTATAAACACTCTGGACAGTTGTTACCAACACGTTACAAATTAGAATAAAGTAAGCAGAAACATGAGTTGCAGACGCTGAAGTAGGTTGAACTTATTGATGCGTATTGTCAGTGGAAAATTTTTTGGTTGACTGCCTGAAAACTTTTTCAACGAAACAATTTGTTAAACATTAACAACATAATCTGTAACCTTTAAAATTAACAAAATGCTGACGAAATTGCATATGACCTTTACAAAACTTTCAGAAAAATATTTTTCTTTTTTCAAGTAATTACAAAAAATTATTTTAAAATTTCACCCAAATAAAATTAACAAATTAGAAAGTAAAGTTAACAAACTTGATTTTTATAACAGTTTTTACTAAACAATTGTTGATAAGACCAAAAACGTTAATAAAATTAATAAAAAAGTTAAAAAAAATAAAAATACTATTAATCACAGACAATTTTATTTCTAAATTAGAAAATCTATGACTACGAATACATTAGGTGTTTAAATCTAAATCAACGGTACAAAAATCGAACCGTAATACTAAAACTAAAAAATCATATAAAAAAATACTGTTTAATCTGGCGATATTGATATGGAAGGGGTGATAAGTCCGACGTTACTTTGTGTTATTAGAACTCCTTTGGTTTTATCACAGATGGATATTCTTCTTTCCTTTATCTTGGCCTTAAAGCCTGCTCGTATATTCTAAAAACAAAAATAAGAGGGATATAGGACAGAACAAAGGGAAAATCAAATTTAGACTTTTTACAGTCCAGTGATATTATTATAATAATATCGCTTTTTAGACACACTGTGGGCCCAAAACGAACTCGAATACTACAAAAATAAGTTTTTCGTTTATAAAATATTTTAACAAAAATATAAAATCTTTGAAATTATCAGAGACATCCAAAAAGTTATTTAAAAATTTACTTAAATTATTTTAAAAAAATACCTTTTTATTTGGAAAAATGATTTACGCATATAAACTTTTTGTTTAGTCTTTTAAAATGTCCGAATACGAAAACATAGAGTATGAAAATGAATTAGTCAAAAATGGCTAGTTACTAGTTTTTCACTTATACCATGGTTAACCATGATACCATGGTATCCCCAACATTAAACAGCAATTCATAAGTAAAAATTAAAATTAAAATTATAAAAGTAGAGCAGTTTTTGAGATATAGTCAATTCCATATTATATAGAAAATTGACTTTATCCCAAAAATAGTAATTTTTAACTCATTCTTTTTAAGAGATTAAGTAAATTTTCGGGCCCATCGTAAACATTATAAAGAATATAAAATTTTAAACGAGAAAAACTTCTGACCTGTACTATGGATCCAGGTTCGGTTAAAACATAATAAATCGCATAAAGAGGGACCCACATCATTGACATAAAACTTATACAAATACCCAAAGCGTCGGCCCAATGGGGATATTTATATTCGGCATAAGTTAGGCTTCGATATTGGAAACAGTGGCTCACGAAAATCGCCTGAAACATAAAGTTTTTTTGTAAAAGTTGGCGACACAGTAGGCACCCATCACGATTTTAAAAGTTAGTTGCCTAGGTATAAAACTATTATTAAACTATTATAAAACTATTATAAAACTTTTATAAAACTATTATAAAACTATTATAAAACTTTTATAAAACTATTATAAAACTATTATAAAACTTTTATAAAACTATTATAAAACTATTACAAAACCCATGCATTTTATTAATACCAGTGACATAGTGTTTGCAGGGAAGTTTACATTTAAAATAGTGTAGGTACATATTACGTGGTCTTTTTTCTTACCAGCATTGTCATGGGTGCAAAATATTTCCAGCATACGCAGAGGAATTTATTGGGTCTCCGCCCCATCATTTGTTCGATGCAATCTGATAGCTTATCGACACCAAATGCCCAGGAAATGCCGATTGTTTGGAAAAAACACACCCAAATCAGGGACATACCACTTGCAGAGTAGAAATCCATTAGTTGGAATATATACATTCCACCCTAAAAATAATAATGTTTAATTTTTTTATATAATTTGTATACAAATATATATATGGTAAACCACATAGTTATTGGACACTTAAGGAATAATATTTATTAAAATTTATATATGCCGTTGTTTTAAAGATTTTAGATTTTTTCTAATAAAAGGATAGTTTGTTTGTTTAAACTATATTTACGTTTACTTAAAAATAAGAATATTTGAATTTTTAATAATAATTTTATAAAAACATGCAAAAAAGTATAGTAATTGGACATTTTATATAGCAATTGGACACATGGACCATAGTTATTGGACATACAATTTTTATATAAACATTACAACTTTACATCAAATAACAAAAAATTGTTATATATTTTTTAAAGATAAATTGCTGTTTTAGGTAATTTTTTTATTTGGTTTTTGTAAATATCATATACTTCATATATTTCTTTCTCGGATTCCTCATCCCTTTCCTGGATTTTGAAGGTAACTACTAATTCCTTGGTCTGACTTCTGAAATAGTTTGTTGAAATTATCATTAAGTGTGGTATTTCTAGTTTGTGAAGCATTTATAATGTTTAGGCCGGAACAGGATGATTTATATATATCTAATATTTTTTCTGGTGGTATGTTAAAAGTATTTTCCGAATTTATTAATTTTGTTGCCATTAGTTTTTTATGTTCTCTATAGTGCACTGATATTCTGTAAGATGTCCTGTAACGAAGAAATCACTATATTACTTACTCTCTAAAAATGAATTAGTCAAAAATGTCATAGGGAAAAAGCAGCCACTAATTATTCTCGTCAACAGCAATTTGTATCCAGGATATTTAGCAGTCAATTCCTATGAAAAATTATTCGCTAAATCCGAAAATGTCGTCAAAAAATATATAAGTAGAACAGTTTTTGAAATATAATCAATTTTACATATAATATGGAATTGACTATATTTCAAAACTGCTTAACTTTTATAGTTTTTGGGGACAATTTTACATAAGAATTGGCTGGTAAATGTCCGGGATATAAATAGAGTTTGATATTGGACATATGTCCAATAATAGAAATTTACATTTTTTACCAACCATTAATTGGACACTGGTCATTTTACTGTTTGTTTTCAGAATTAAAATTAAAACGCATTAAAGTGACAATGTTTAAACCACGAGGAACACATTTATACCACACTCTGATCTGTACACTTTTTAGAAATATTTTTTATTGTAATTTAAACACAGCCCTGCTCTTAACAAAAAGACCCAAAATAAAGTAACAACGTCATCTAATGATTTGACTTAACTATTTAACTATAATTTAAAAAAAACTAAAACCCTGTTAAAACCAAAAAGCGTTATAACTTAATTTGTTATTCCTGGTAATAAAAAAAGTAAGTTTTCCAAGTAAACATACACTTTTTCAATTTGTATGTTTTTCTGTAATTGAGATAATATTGAAATTCCCTGGAACAAGTACCTATTCCAGCAAATGTTATCGCGTGAAACGTCGCATGGCATCTTTTAAAGCCACTTGGGCCGTTAAGTTCAATTTCTGTCGTCATTTCAATCGGAAGCGCTAGCTGTAGCAGAGGAAACTTACATTCGTAACCATCGGTATTCCCAGAATGAACATCACGAGGCAGGTAATTGCCGTGAACGATGTGCGATAAGGTCGCAATTGCTGTGACCAATTGTCAATGATTCCGGTAATAAAGGACTCCACCAAGCAGAATTCGCTATCAATTCCCAATAGCTGGAACATAGGAAATTAAAGTTTAATTATACAAAGTTAACTTTGTCGGGAATGTTATCTTTTCTTGCATATATGTTCAAAGGATAAATGGACGGCTTTCTGCAGAATGGGACCAACCCACACCATGATGAAACTGAGAAAAAAGCTATCAAAGATTTTAATAATTTTAAAATTACCTGTTAATTTTATGCCGATTTTGGACTTACGGAGGTTTAAGGGATATAATTTAATAATTTCATCAGGTGGATTTTATGATGTTATGTGTAAGGGTGACGACAAAAATGGGCTTTTGTTGGTTGGTTCCTTTCTGCAATTTATGAAAACTACTATCTGATGTATGTATGTATTTAAAGAAAAGCGACAATTATTTATTTCCAAACAAAATACAACTGATATTACTATTATAATGGTAATATGAATTAATTTTGATTCTATTTGAAATTCGTCCACATCATCTTCCAACCCCACCTCATCTTGTAAGCTACCAAAAAAATGCATCAAGACTTTATATTTTGCAGAAGCAGGAAATCTTTAAAGACTTTGGTAGTGGGTCTACCAGCCTGCTTTTTTACAAAAAAGATCCAACCTACTTGCAGATACTCTACAGATTCTAATTCTGGATTAGTAATCCACACTATTATTGAATGTTGGTTGGTTCAATGATTAATAGATTTTACTACACTTGCATTTTGGCTATGACCTATTTTGCAGATAAATTATACATACTTAATTAGTTCATAGGCTAAATATCTCGATTTTTTTGGTTTTGTGGGTTGGTTCCTTTCTGCAGAAAGGCGTAATGTAATGTAAAATAATTTAAATCGTGTAATTTTGTGGCGTTGTAGTCAAGATATTAACAAAATCTATATTACATAATTAACCCCGGAGCATTCGCCATTTTTGCAACAAAATGTGACAATTAAATCCTTCAAAATTGCACCAAAACCTTTGCAATATTTGTTGCACAATTCTACCCTTGAAAAAGCTACAATTAAGTCACCCATAATTAAAATTAATAACACTAGTTTACAGCAATTTTGCCCACCATGTCTCCCTATGATTTTCTTGTGTAGTTTGGCGAAAATCACACTTAATTTTTTTTTCATGGAAGCGTTTTCGAGATATGAATATTCAATTATTTTCTGAGGTGTTTTGACGTTTTAGAGTATACTTCGAGTATACTTCGAGTTCTAATTGATCGATTTAACCAAACAAGCACTTAAATCAAAGGTAATTGAGCACTCTACAACTTTCTCTTGTATAGTTTTGGTATCGGCTCAGTAGTTCGATACTGGCGATTTTATGAAGTTGAAAAAGTTCTTTCTTTACAAAAATCGATGTCGAAAATTTACATATCTTTCTGGGAAAGACAGAAATCGAAAAGATAATTGAGGAGCATCCGTGCAAAACCGGTTAAATCCATTTTATTCAGTTTTTGTTTTTTTTTCTGATTTCGCATCTTTGGGTTCATTTCTATCGACAACCAAGATAATTATGTTTAAATCCGACTATATCCATGTTAAAATCACATTTAAAAGGTAGCTTTAGAAGCAAAACCGGCCAAATCCACGTTTTTATAGCAAACCCGGCTATATATAATAAATAATAATGTTGATGAGCATGTGGCTTGGATATGTCGATACTACTACTAAAATTTGTTCTGTTTTTTGATGTTTGCACTAAATTTATTTTGTTAATTTTTTTGAATAATAAAGGTTTTTTTCACATTTTATTCGGTTTTTGAGCAAAACCGGCTATATACAAAACATTTTTTGAAATTTTGGCCTTAATATAAAGTTTTTGAAAACGAAAGTATGTCTATGTCTAAACTCAAGTTTGCTTTTTCTTTTATCTGTAAAGGCCAGGAAACCGAGAGTTTTTGCCATTTTCCCAACATTTTATTAAAGTGGATATAGCCGGTTTTGCACGGATGCTCCTCAATTATAGCTTGATTTATTTTACGTGTAGATTATACTTGGATGGATGGCGAAGTTATGAATTTTTCAGTTAAAGACCAAAATTCAGTTTTTCGAGAATTTTTAGGTTTTTTCTTCATTTTGTTGAATTACATATATAAAATTTAATATTGAACATTGATTTTTATTTTAAAAATTAAATATTGAAATTAAATTATAGCTTGATTTATTTTACGTATAGATTATACTTAAAGAAGAAAATAAGCTGCTGTTTATAAAAATCCATGGATAAATGGCGAAGTTATGAATTTTCCAGTTAAAGACCAAAATTCAGTTTTTAGAGAATTTTTACGTTTTTTCTTCATTTTATTGAATTACATATATAAAATTTAATATTGAACATTGATTTTTATTTTAAACATTAAATATTGGAATTAAATGTATTGAATATTAAACAATAAATATTGAACATTGAAGATATTAAAAGTTTTATTTTGTTGTAATAAGCATGGGTTTAAAAAAATTCTGGCTCATTCTTTGTTTTTTGTTGCTTTCGTATTCCGTTTCTCGTATACGAGGGACCAAATGTAATCACCCATCATGGCTGCATCCCAGAAGCCGTGATACCGCCGCTCCATAGCCTTCATTTGCTGGTGAAAACGTTCTCCGTGATCATCACTTACGTCGCCCAGATTGTGCGGGTTATTTACGCACTCGAACTCTCTACTTCTTTTACTCATTTTACACTTTATATTAACTAAATAAATCCATGATAAAAATACCTTGTTGAAATATCAAAAAATATCAGTAAAATGTCACTATGTCAACACGAGAAACAAAAGAATTCAGGTTTGCGGAGTCATGTCAAATTTAAATTTTGAATAATATTTTTGGTGAAAAAAGTACGTAAAAAACTTTAAAAAATTCAATCATGCACTTTATTTAGGTTTTCATTAAAGAATAAACATATTACAAAATAAAATAAAAATCGTCAAAAAGCTGAATTTTGGTCTTTCACTAAAAAATTCATCTTCGCCATTTTTTCATGTATTTTTATCAAACTGGAGTATCTGTTTTATTGAAACCTTTTCCAGGAAGATATGTAAATTTTCGACCTCAATTTTTGCCATAAAAACGTCATATTTCATATTTCAAAAACGTTTCCATAAAAAAAATACATGGGAAAATTATAATGGGATATGGTGGGCAAATTTTTTTTTCAAATTTGTAAACTAGTGTAATATGAAACACAAAAATAAAAACAACGACATAAGGGGTGCTTTTGATAGCTTACAACTGTTTTTGGTAATTTGGAGATTTTTAAATATATATTATATTTTTAATTTATGTGAAATTTAGCATAAAAGAAAAAACTAAACTTAAATTTTGTTACAATGTCCTACTTTTTCTTATTTTTGGTGATATAACCATAAATTTGGTAAAGTTCAAAATCTTTGATCTTAAGTTTGCGATATGAAAATCTTTAAAGCCCATACTATCTAATTACAACCAAACTTTATCCTTACAGGCTTTATAATATAGTTATCGAACATTATACATTTGATGTTATTCAAAGTAAAACATTTACCCCTCGATATATGCAAATGATTTTAAAAAGAACTGCTTTAGCTCCTTTGATAGTTGAGATTCAGTTTTACTCATTTCAAATTAAAATTAGATACAATGGTACAAAGAGTAACTCACCATGAGCATCATAAAGAATATTGTGGCCCAGAAAGGCGACCCGGGCAGTTTTAGTACAACCTCGGGATAAGTGAGAAACACAAGACCTGGTCCACTTTTGACGACTTGCGCCACGTCAGTGTCCTGCTCTAGAGCCAGATGACCCAGGATCGAAAAGGTCACTATTCCAGCCATCACCGAAGTTAACGTGTTCACTATGCACGTGATCAGGGCATCTCTGAAAAGTGATTACAGGTGTAAAAAGCGTGTGCTTAAAGGATTGTCAATATTAAGTCATTTTTTTAGTTTGTTTTATAATTTTAACACAAGTATTGCTTTCCATCTTAAATCGTACAGTCTCTACCGAAATAGATTAGATCCAAATTTTTTATTTTTGCCTTAATTTTTTAAAAATTGACAGAAACATCGTTTTTTTTTCTTTTTCTTAAAAAATAAAAATGATAACTTGGCCAAAGTTGTTAATCGTTAAAAAATTTTTTAATTGTAAGTTAGTGTTTACTACATACAAAAAAATTAAGTAAATTCACTTAATTTTTATTTAAACTGTTTTTTCTAAAAAAGGCAAAGAAACTTTTTATAATCGATTCAACATATTTAAATTATTTTTTCTACTCCCCCCTTTTAAACGCCCTTTATCGTACATGTTTCCATGACACTAAGTGACCTTTTAAATACACATTGACAAGTTGTGGCTTAATGGCGCTTTAGTCACGGGCTGAAGTTAGCAACAGGTTTTTAATCGCGGGCTGATATTAGTTTTAAGTTAGTTGACAGTTGTCAAAAGTCATACAATCGTTAAAATAAAGTGCCTTTTTGTAAAATAATACAAAATTATTTTATTATCTCAATACAAAAATACAAAAGTATTAAATAACGCCAATATTTAAAAAGTTTATATGAACTATAACTATAACTTAAATTCGGGAACGGACTCCACTGTAAAGTGCTCATAAAACATTTTCTTTACTTTTACTGTGAAAACTGTCAATTTTCAAGAAATACATTTCGATTTATAACCTTTATAACCTGTGTTTATAAAATATAAAAATTTGACATTTGACGGTGACACACAGATTCTCCTATTGTTTCATAGATGGCGCTCTATACAAATTTTTGATTTAAAATAATATTAAGTATTTGTCGTAGAAAAAGTATAGTATGTTTATAAACTTTTCTATACACTCATTAATTCAAATTAAATTCGTGCATAAAATGGCGTTTATAAAACTTGATACATAATATACTATTATTTAGCAGTGGTAAAACTAAAAAATGTTGAGTAATTACTTACACCCCTTTGATTCTAACCACCTCAATTATTATTTTTATTTTATTTTATAAAATGTTTTTTCATAGTAAAATGAAATGTTAATATTCACTTACCAGCAAAACAAACTAAAGAACTGTCAAATCCGATACTTCTTTTAAACACAAAGGTTTTAAAGCTTTTTTACTTTATTTACTTCTGTACAAACTTTAAAACCTTATAAACATTTAAATTTAATTAAGAGTTTAAAAGCGATTTAATTAAAAAATTAATTAATATTTGGTATCAAATTTATAAAAGTGGATTTCTTTTATGACCCTCTTTAATTAAAAAAAAGTTTTGGCATAAAGTATGTTTTTTTAATTTTTGAAAGCTCATAAAAACCAGCATTGCTCAAAAAGAATTATATTGTATTTTTTCCAAACTACTTGGCCCAATATGAAGCAGAAAAGCCAATTCAAGGCACTCTAGATACAGAAATAAAATGTAATAAAAAATTGATTTGACCTGTCAAAAATTGACAAGTGACATAAGTACGTATTCAGAATTTTATTTTGAATCGAAATATGTAGGTTTCATTAAAAAATAAAAGATAAGAGTTAGGGTAAACAAAACCCACCCCTTTTTGCCTGGTCAATTTAAGATGGATAGCTCATAATATTTTTTCAACAAAACAAAAGTTTGAAATGTAATAAGGCAAGTAAAAAGAATATTCTACTGCTAATTATTTTGTTTTCCTTTCAGAAGGGTAAATAGTTGACCATCCCCTATTTTTAACTAAAAGAGCTTTTTTTAGCTTGCAACACACGTTGTCACCTTTCCTGCTGTCCTCAGTAATGTTATACGTGTGTTGTTTTACTGACTGATAAGGGGACATGGCATCAACGCAATGCAACGCCTTCTTGCTTTGTCGACACATCAACAAAATACGCAAATTTAATCAGAAATAGTATTTTTTTGGTAAATAAATTAATTTTTAAACTTTTAAATTATAAACTTATAATATATGGGTGAAAAGTGAAAATGATTATTTTTTATTTTTGGTTGTTTCACTGTTAATCTAGAATGGGTTTTTTGGGAAGCCACCAGGTCTAGTAATAACATAACATAAGTGGTTCTGCACTAATGAAAGAATTTTAAGAAATCATAAATTTTGAATATTAAAGCTTCACGGAAGATAGCTTCAGGGAGGTTAGGATTTCGTATTTTTTTTAAACATCCCTTTGTATATTTGAAATAAGTTATTGTATCTTTTGACACCTTAATATTTAAAATATTTATAAAAAAAATCTACTTACTGAGATATTACACTTCACGGTGGATAGGTTTTTAAATAGCAAATTAATAAACTTAAACTTTTGAATTATAAAACAGCAACATCTGCATATAAATTCTAACTGACCTTCAGGAATCACAGGCATCTATAATGTCGTAAACAGAGGTTTTTGCTTATTTAAAATGATTAAAGCGGCATCCGTTGCATAAAATTTAAAACAAAAACAGATTCACGGAGGATAGAATCAATTTTTGTAACACCTACATAAATGGTTATAAAAATTATTTCTTTTAATTTTTAATAATTTTTTATATTTGATTCGATTGCTTTGGATGTGTTTAATTTACTTGGTGAACTGATATTTAGTATGCTTTTACTACCTGAGATATTTTATTAACTTAGAAAGAGTAACAGTCACGGAGGATAGGTTTTAGACTTTTAAAACATTGTAAAAAATAATTAATTGCGGTTAAAAATCTGGAACCTGAGCTGTAATATCTACTTAATTATGAAAGATAAAAACACAATAAAAGTGTAGGTCAAACTCATTTAGTTTTATTAAATATCACGGGGGACATTTTGTGAGATTCACCCATATATCAAAATAAAATATTATTGTCTAACTCTTGTAACTTACTTGTAAGAGTTATGATGAAACTTGTTGTATGATCCTAAAGCTGGCAGTGCCCCGCATCCAATACTATACGCAAAAAATATCTGCGTAGCTCCCTCCATCCATGGTTCTGGGGTGAGGAGTGCGTCCCATTGGGGAGTTATAAAGAATAAAAGCCCGTCTGAAGCCCCCTCGAGAGTTACCGCCCGCACCAGGAATATCAAAAGGACGACGTATGGAAAAAGGGCGGAAAACCATATCACCTAAAAATGAAAATAAATGAATTTATGAAATTTACTAAATTTGCATTTTGGTAATTATTTCTTTTGTCAACCTTAACAAGGGTCCATTAACTAAACGCGTTGGGGGAGAATTTAAATTGATTTTTGTCGCTGCCTCTCGAATACAAATATTTAATCAGGACGGTTTTTGTTTGGTTTAAAAAAATTGTTAATATATAGGTACTAGGGTGATTCATTTACGCAAAGTTTTTGTTTTTTTTCGGTGCTCAAGCAAAATATTAGTCGTCAAAGGACAGTTTGTGAAAAAAATCGTTTTTTTTTTATTTTTTTGAGCAAATCGCCAAAACTAGTGAGAAAAAAGGGCTGATTCATAAAAAAAAAGTTATCCAACCAATATTTAATGAATTTACTGCCTTTTTATAACTAAAAACGTAAGAAATTGATAAATACCAACCCATAATGTTATTTAGATTGATTTCTATTTATTATCATTATATTTCCCTACACTAAGAACTTTTTTAAAATTATTATGATTTCTCACTGATAATGAATATGAAAACAACACATAAATTCATAAAAAAAACAACAAAACTTTAATCGGAATATACAGAAGGTTATGTAACATATTTCGAATTTCGCTTCAAAAAATTAAATAATCTTCATTTATATTTTTTTGCTATATGACAGAAATGTTGAAAAATTGCAAAATCCACGTTACAATTTTCTTATTGTTTTTTTTATGAATTTATCTGTTGTTTTCATATTCATTATAAGTGAGAAATCAATAATTTTAAAAACCTTCTTAGTGTAGGGAAATATAATGATAATAAATAGAAAAAATCAATCTAAATAACATTATGAGTTGGTAATTATCAATTTATTACGTTTTCAGTTATAAAAATGGCTGTAAATTCATTAAATATTGGTTGGATAACTTTTTTTATGATTCAGCCCTTTTTTCTCCCTACATTTTGAGGTTTGTTAGAAAAAATTTAAAAAAAAACGATTTTTTTCAAAAACTGTCCTTTGACGACTCCTACTGGTGAACCAATGGGAGTTACAAAAAAAACTCAAAAGCAATTTTAAAGAGCGTGAAATTCCCCATAAGGTGTATTAAACCGATTTGCAATATTGTCAAAGGTGGGTAAGCATTAGAAATTTGAAAAAAAATATATATTTTTTACATGCATTTTAAACGGTAAAACTTTAAATTTAAATAGTAAGTAGTTAAAATTTATATTAAGAGCTCAAACTTGGTGAGAATTTTTTTTTCTATATGCAGATTAATATTTTGCTTGAGCACCGAAGAAAACAAAAACTTTGCGGAAATGAATCACCCTAATAGGTACTTGAAATATTACATGCCTTTCCACTTTGATGTAAGCCTTTTCTAATCACTAAATAAATCATTATCCAGCCAATCATCAAACACAAAAATAGATTCCATTGGATGTCTCCTATTTCCTCTATACCTTCTGAAATTGCCAATACCCGACGCCTAAAATTTTTAAATTGGTTCAGTTTACACAATTATACAGGCCAAAAAAAGAAAGTTTTTCTCTGTAATTTTTGCATAAAAAATTATGAAATTTTTTCGACAAAACCAGGCACATTGTCTTACTCAAAAAACTCCTCTACTGAAGTGGTAGAATTCATTGATGAAGTCCTATTGGATTCTGTATAACAATTCTTCGAGTTCCACCAGTTATCTAGAGTAAAAAATTAGTTTTAAATAAGTATTTTGGAGTAACATAACCAAAAAAATACATACCACAGCTTGCCCAAGGCAGTATAGGCATATTGGAAAAAGTTGTAATAATATAGAACAATGTCCAGGATATTATAAGGCAGTAATACACATCCAAAAGGAAAACTATTGTCATAGTAGCGTATCCAACTCCTTTTAATATAGGACAAAGCTGTCCTACGAAAGTCATCCCTCCTGATCCTAAGTATTGTCCTATGGCCACTTCCTGGAAAAACATGGGTATGCCGCAGAAAATCATGGCGATGGTGTACGTTATCAAAAATCCACCTATATAAAATATAAAAATATCTTATTTATAACATCATTTGTAAAATATAAGGTTTGCAAGAACAATATTTTAAAAATTCTTTCTAAACTTTAAAACCTGTAGCAACTTGTTAATCAGAATTTATCTGAAGACGACTGCATCAGTTGATAAAAAAAATATTAAAATATTAAACAAATTTTGTCTGTCTTAAGATTACACCGAAACTAGTAGCAAACTAAAATATTCAAGCAAGAAAGCATATTTTATTTAAATCAATTACTCCCTTAAATAATTTAGTAACAATTTTAGAAAGTTTTAGGACAATTTATAATCTCGTATTCATCTTCTGTATAATAAACGGTTTCCATTTGCCAGAACAAATATTGGAAACACAAACAAAAATGTAAAAACACATAAATTATGCAGTATTTGTGATTCCACTTTGCTAACATATGTTTGATTTTCCATAAATTATATATAGGTAAGTTTTGTTTAATCTAAATCATATTATTTATTTAACGACTCCGTAACATGCAATTCATTATACATTAAAAACTTGCCACCATCATTTTGTTGATTTTATTTAATTAAATAAAAATGGCATATCAAATATTTTTTGCTTATTATGTGTTCCAGTTAATTACGCTTAAGTACGTTTGATATAATGATTATCCCAAGGTATTAGGGAAACGATATATCGGCCATTAAGTGAGTAAATTGAAATTCCGATAATCATTATAACAGTTACTGTGCTAAACAATGTGCATTGTTTCTATGATTAAGGCGGTGCACATAAATTGTAACCAATATACTGCAGTGTATTGGTTACAATATATGTGACATTAGGGAAATAATTACAATGTCCTTAGTTTTATACAGGATATTTTAGACAATTTTTATATACATTTTTATTTTTTAACAATAAAATACAGTTTTAAAACACTTAAGACAGTTTTACGGCCTACTTTAAGAATATTTTAAAATAGACATTCTTTAATTCTATAGCAGTTTTAAAATATTTAAGGGGTCAAAAAAGCTTTTCTCACAATTGTTTTTTCTACGACCCTTTTATTTTTTATTATTTTTAAATTCAAAACAAAATAGCATATGGGTGATTCTACAAAAGTTGGGCAACTTTTGACCTCATTTTGTTTTTATAGTTTTCGGAGAAAATTAAACAGTATTTTGATATGAGAACATAATAAATATACTGTTCCAGACCGGGCCAGTCACTTTTTCAAACAGTTTCTGAAATATCTGTGTTTTCTAAATTTGAATGCAAGGGAAGTGACGAGTATACCAGGGTACTAATTAAATACATAATTTATTGGAAAATATAAGATTTGGGTATACCGACATCTCAATTATTAGATATGGGACCCACACCAAATTTATATTAGTTTATAATGACATTAAATAAAGAAGTTCTGGGCAAGCAGAATTTAAATTTTGCGAAAAAAAGATAACCGAAACATCGAACATGGAACTGACGACACGGTACTGATGAATGGGATACAAATTTGAGATTATAATTCGGAATTGAGTATTTTACTGATATTTTTTATTAGTGGATGCTACTTATCAACAAATCACATATAGCCTTATATAAATTTCAATGAAATATATATACGTAAGAAAATAACTACTCACCACAGTACTGAAATTTTGACTGGAACTATACGTGCATTCACCACAACTTCGCCGCTTGCATTGTTTTCAAGATGACTGTCGTGCAAAGGGCGGGCTCTGACAGTTGGTAAGTAAAATTACCTACAGAGCCGCTCTGTAGGTAATTTTACTTACCAACACTTGAGTTAAAACGAGGACTTGACGTTTAAACTTCAATATTTCGCAGGAATTTTGAATTTTAACATTGGACACAGAACTGACGGGTAAAAGTGAGTACAAAGATTATCAATTTTTTAAAAATTGCTATTATTCGAATCTTTGATAAAATATGAAAAATACATTATTTAATGTTTTATAGTTTGTAGTGAAATTGAAAAATTTAAGATAAATTGAATATATTTTAAAATAAAACCACTTAAATATTTGATTCAGGAGTTGTGACACGCCAAGGTACTGATGTTTTGAATATTTATTATGTTTTTGTATACAAACGTGCTTTTGAAAAAATACATTAATATTGGGTGGACCAGTTAAAAAAACCTGGATCACCCATATACACGTGTTTCACAGCTGTTCAAATTACTTTCATCTTATTCTGTTAATTTTTAAGGTATAAGTTACTTTTTTTAATGCAACGTGGTATTTTCACTATCTCTTTTAAATGTATATTTATTAATACAGTACCTGTTACATTGTTACAACAATGCATGAGTAAAATAATATATTGATGCGTTCTGCTCGATAATTTGTGTGTTAAGTTACATATACTTCACTCTAGTCTATTTTCTTACCTCCACCATTTTTAAAGCAAAGATAAGGAAATCTCCAGACATTGCCTAGCCCGACCGACAAACTTATGCAAGAAAATAGGAAGTCCAATTTGTTTCCCCATCCGCCTCTGTCGTCCTCAGCCGACAGAGGCGCGTGGTAGGTAACAACTTTTTCCTTCAACCGGCATTCCTCCTCCTCTTCATCCTCGTTGCTTTTGAACTGAATGAAGGAATCCTTGCCGCCGTGGCTTTTTTCCGTCGACTTCTCCCAAAGGAAAACTTTGTTGGACATGTTATCTGAAACAAAAAGTATGCTGTTTTATTATGTTCCTAAAGAATAGTTTAGAATTGCGAATAAGACTTTAATTTTATCTTTTCACATGTTATATGGATGCATTAGACTGGGCCAAAAAAAAACCTATTTTTTTTTTTTGAAAAGTATATCGAAAATTTGGTTTGGGGTGACAAAAAAAATTATTGTGAAAGTTTGAGTCCATAATATTAATATTAACAGGTCTATCATCGCAATTTTAATTTTTTTTAACTCAGCAAGTTTTTGTCTTAGAACTCCCAAACCATTGAATTTAACAAAATTGACTCGAAAATATTTTTTTAAGAAAATTAAATGCTTTACAAAAAAGGTTAAAGTGAAATTTTCTGTCAGATGAACCGTTTCCTTAAAATCATGCCTTAAAAATTGGTATAGTTTTACATTTTGATCTTTTAAATTGAATTTTGTAATTCATGTAAAAATCAGTACCCGTAAAAAAATCTTATGGGAAATCAAATGCTTTACAAAACAAGTCTCTTAACATTTTTGGCTAAATTCACTCAATCAAAAGTTATTCAAGGTTAAAATTTCGTTTTGACTTCAAATATGAATAACTTTTGATGGAGTGAATTTAGCCAAAAATTATAAAAGACTATTTTTGTAGAGCATTTGATTTCCCATAAGAATATTTATCGGTTTTTTTTTTCAGGGTACTGATTTTTACATGAATTACAAAATTCCAATTTAAAAGATCAAAATGTAAAACTATACCAATTTTTAAGGCATGATTGTAAGAAAACGGTTCATCTGACGGGAAATTCTAATTAAACCTTTTTTATAGAGCATTCAATTTTCTTCAAAAAATATTCCTAAGTCAATTTTGTTAAACACAATGATTTGGGAGTTCTGAGACAAAAACTCGCTCAGGAAAAAAAAATCTAAAATTGCAATGATAGACCTCTTAATATTAATATTATGGACTCAAACTTTCACCATAATTTTTATACTTTACAAAAAAAATAGTCGATTTTTTTGGCCCAGTCTAGTATACATATATGTAGATTTGTTTGGCCGAGACTCTGCTCCTTTGCCATAGATTGTTTTAAAGATAATCGTTAAAAATTGTATACAATTGTATAAAATATTATCACGAATTATTTAAAATTGATTATTATACTAATTTTATATAAAAAAAAAAGTATTGTAATATTTATTTGGTATTTATTGTTATATTTATTTCAATTTTTTAAAAATTAGGTAGGGTAAAGTAGACAGTTATTGGACACTTTAATTAATTCTGTAAAATCAAGAGTTCTATAAATAGTTACCTTAAAGTCAAATCATTAGATGTCGCTGTATACAATTATAAATATCTCAGTCGGTAATAATATAGAACTACTTTATTTTGGGTCCAATATAGGACAAAAATGTTCGCACGTTACTTTGGAGGTAAGATTTTTGTTTTTTGTTAAGAGCAGGGCTGTGTTTAAATTTCAATAAAAATTATTTCTAAAAAGTCTACAGATCTGTGTGTGGTATAAATGTGTTCCTCATGGTTTAAACATTGTCATTTTAATGCGTTTTAATTTTAATTCTGAAAACAAACAGTAAAGTGGCCAGTATCCAATTACTGGTTGGTAAAAAATGTAAATTTCTATTATTGGACATATGTCCAATTCTTATGTAAAATTGTCCCCTGAATCCGAAAAGATTGTCAAAAACTATAAAAGTTAAGCAGTTTTTGAGATATAGTCAATTCCATATTATATGTAAAATTGATTATATTTCAAAAACTGTTTTACTTTTATAACTTTTGACGACATTTTTGAATTCAGCGAATAATATTTCATAGAAATTGACTGCTAAATGTCCTGGATACAAATTGCTGTTAACGAGCATAAATAGTGGCTGCTTTTTCGCTATGACATTTTTGACTAATTCATTTTTAGAGAGTAAGTAATATAATGATTTCTTCGTCACAGGACATCTTGCAGAATAACACTGATTTAAATACAATGCATGATAGAGAACATAAAAACCAATGGCAACAAAATTAATAAATTCTGAAAATACTTTTAACATACCACCCGAAAAAATATTAGATATATATAAATCATCCTGTTTGGCCAAAACATTATAAATGCTACACAAACTAGAGATACCATGGTATCTCTAAGTGTGCACACTTAATGATATTTGCATTAAACTATTTAGAAGTCAGACCAAGAATTAGTAGTTACCTTCAGAATCAAGAAAAGGGATGAGGAATCCGAGAAAGAAATATATGAATTATATGATATTTACAAAAACCAAATAAAAAAATTACCTAAAACAGCATTTATCTTTAAAAAATATTTAACAATTTATGTTATTTGATGTAAAGTTTTTATGTTTATATAAAAATTGTATGTCCAATAACTATGATCCATGTATTACTATATAAAATGTGCAATTACTATACTTTTTTGCATATTTTTAAGTAAACGTAAATAAAGTTTAAACAAACATACATTCCTTTTTATATATTTATAAAAAAACTAAAATCTTTTAAACAACGGCATAAATAAATTTTAAATAAATAATTCCTTAAGTGTCCAATAACTATGTAGTTTACCCTATATATTTATTTATGAATACATATAAGGATATAGAAATAGTAATGTGACATACAAAAAGTAGAAATACTCACTTTAGGCTATGGTGCCTGTCATAGCGACTTTCATTTTGGACACAAGTAGGTATCTAGTTTAAATAGATAATAATAACACGTTTGAAAAAATTTGTCGCCCTGCAGAACAAAAGTACACAGATCCAAAGACTTTTTTTTATTTTTACAAACAAGCCTTATTGTTTTTGATGGGCCACCCTGTATATATATATATATATAAATATATATATATATATATATATATATATATATATATATATATATATATGTGTACAATAAATAGCACTTGTTTCTTCTATTTTAGAACATTCGGTTTCACTAAGGACAAACTATTCTAGGAATATCGCAGCTATTAATATAAAGTGAACGCACTGTCAACTGTTCTTGATATTGAAACTAAATTTAGTTTTTTTTATTAATAAACAAAACAATTCAAACAAAAACACATACACAAACCGGTTATTACCATCTTCAGGCATTTTTCTGGTCAATTTTAAATCCCCACACTATTTTGCTAAAAAAGTTCACTCAACATCAAATTCACAGTGCACATGTATAGTTAGTATAATTATTTCTAAAATTAGTATCCATACGTAATTATTTTTTGGCATCTAATTTTCTTTATGTAATCTGCAAAAAAATACGTTTTTGTTTATGACATGCCCATTTTTCAGTTGGAAATAAAAATACTTTTAAAATTTTACCTACTGGAATCAGTTTTACTTTTAATTTCAGCAACTATTCTTGTCTTAAATTTGAAGAAATAATAAAATTAAAATTAATTAAAACACAATGGAAAATATCACATTGGGAATCTCTTAAAATTTAAATAAAGGGTGAATTTTTAATTACATAAACATAATTTAAGAAACTTTTATGTTACATCAAATAAAACGACACTCTAAGGGCCTTAACGTATAAATGTTGTGTATGTAATTTTTGAATTAAACCTGTTAATTCAGGCCAATACATATTAATATTTAAAACAATGATATGATGATGCGTGCAAGTCTGACCAGCAAAACATCTGCTTAATTAGTATTATAGTTAAGTAAATCCTATTGCCTTGCCATTGGTCGAAAAATTTGTATACAGAAAAACAATTGAACGCCAACTTAATTGGATATATAGTTAACGTTTGTTATGACAATGTCCTCACAATTAAGTAATTTTTTTTCATATTGAAAAGGTCAAAATAATTTGATGGAATTCGTTGTCACGAGATTTGGAAAATTGACCGAATTTGAAAATAAGTCAATTATTAAAAATTGAATATTACTTTTTTTAAATATACAGAGTGCACCAGTATTTCGGAGAATTACAAGCATATCAAAATAAAAATTAAAAATTGTAAAAAAACAGTGGTAAGTATTTAAAATATTTGAAAAAAACTAAAGATTTGTCAAAACCAAAAATCTGAAAGTTAAAAAAAAAGAAAGATACATATAAACATTTATCTACATTGTGTTGGGCACATTATTTTTTTCTACAAACAAGAAAAACTATTTTCTCTATCACTTTTCAGTTTTAACTTTAATGTTTTGTATACAAGCGTTCGAAAAGTTACCTAAATTTGAACATTTTTTCATATTTGTAATAGATGGCGCTGTAATGAAAAAAAATCAATTTTGTTCGATTTTTCTTCTTTTACGATTTTGCAATAATTTTTCTATAAAAATATCACTTTTTTGGTAATAATTATCTTATTAAATTAAATCTGATTTTTTCAAGTACCCACGATTTTTTAACTAATATTTTAGTTTCCTTTGGTTTAAATTTTATACATTATTTCATTTGGTGATAATTATCAATTGCGCACCATGGTCACTTTTTACCTGCCAGCATTAAATCCTTTAATTTAAAGGATTATTATACTATTCTTAATAAAAACACGTCATTTAAGGTAAAAAAACATTATTTTTTCAATTAATTAATTTAATCCTAATTAAGGTAAAAAAAAATTGTATTTAGTTATAAATAATAATTATTTTTGAGGTATAAAGAAACTAGTTAGTTTAGCATTATTTAATCAATTTAAGAAGATTAATTTGCAAACAAAAAGACCTCCTTTCTTTGAGCAGGTATTCATAATGGATTTTTTAACAGTGAAAGAATAAATAGAAATGATTTTGATTTATGGAGAAGCAGGCAGGAATCTTGATGATGCTGTAATATCTACGCTCAGCGTTTTCCGGATAAAATTCGATCACGTACTTCATTTCACCGTACAGTCAAGCAGTTTACTACAAACGGGAGTGTTCAACCGAAAAAAAGAGTTCGTCGAGCAAATATTTAATATTGTTATTTTGAGCACCTACTTTAATTAAAATTTAAAAAATAAATAAATAAGTTTCCCGTCTAATTATTTTAGACAATTTTTTCGCTAAAAAATGTCACTTTATACTTTTAATAGTTGAGCATTTTAAATATAAATTTATCTTAAAAATAAAACTAACTTAACTTTTACATTTCTTTCCAAATTGATTTTCTTAAATTATTACACCAGTAATTTTATATGAATACATATTTTATCAGTTAAATTTGATTATTATTTTAATTACTTATTCAACCGGAACAGGAGGCATACCTTAATAACAATAGTCGACAGCATATTTGTCACATATTTTAAAAGCTGGAGCTAATTGAGCAAAATAATGGTTATTTTTGAAATTATCGCCCCCAAAATTACCCTAGAGAAGTTATTGTTAAAAAAAATTAATTTTGTCGACCAGTGTAATTTTACAAAATATGTGTACCAACCTAACAAATCGGATTATCCAAAATATTTAAATTTTCTCGAGGAAGCTTTATGGCTCAAAATTTAATTAATTGGTCATTATTTCAATTTTTTTTATTGCCAAAGTGTAAAACGATGTTTTGTTCTTTTTAAGTTAAGCAATTTTATGAGTTATAAAATTTTTAAAATATTTAATTGGGTATTAACAATAAGTTATTTATTTATAATTAAAATTATATTTGTGTGTAAAATCATATTTATATTTTATATTAATGATCTATATTATATTATACAAAGTATCGAATATATACGGTTAAAATAATTTAAAAATATTTTATAACTGGATATAATTTTATAGTTTATTAATTTAATATTTTAATATTTAGGGGACTAAAAAAATCTTAAAACTTACTTACTTAATTTTGATGAAATTCTTGTAAGTTGACTTCCATATGTTCCGCACACTCCAAAAGTTTGACTATAAACTAATCAGTTAATACACTGGCAAATAATTTGCCACCACTTGGTTGTCATACCAATTTGTACTTACTACTAAGTATCAATAATAAGCTATAGGTCATTCTAATAAAAATATTTACCTATACATTCCACTTAAATTTTAATTGCTTACAAAATACCACCTAAGAAAAAAATTAATTTAAATAATGTATATTTTTTGACTGATATTGTTTATTTTATCTGGGGGAAATATTTTGATGAAAATTATATTATCCATATAGGAACAATCACGTTCAAAATCCTTTTTAAATCAAAGATTTTTCCGAATAAAATATAATTTATAAAATCAATAATATACCAAGGGTATATTTAAAATTGATCAACCCTGTATACTTAAATAAAGCCAGCTTTAACTAGTTTTAGCATGTTAAAAAATAAATCATTTAATCATTAGTCAGCATTGTTAGTATCAATTAAAACAATTTTATTATGAAATGAAACTCAATATATTGATTTCTACAAACTTTATTACAAAAAATTAACATTTTTTTACATAAATACACAAAAATAACAAATAACAACAATATCACGGTGTTTAATTTATTGTACAGGGTGTTCAAAAGTGGATCGCTATTTTCTGGACACCCTGTATACCCCTAAATATATACATATTAAGTAATATTAATTGGTTAACTGGTACTGAAGTTTGAGGCTAGAGTAAAAAGAAGTCTGGTCCTATGAAGTTTCCGCAGGTTGGGAAATGTTTCGGAGTGGATACCATTTCGTCAGTGTGTCCAACCTGAAAAACTATGTCTAATCCTCTGGTCCAACTTTTGGATTGTTCGTCCCTTAGTATCCAAAATCCTACAAAAAAATATATTACGATAATATACTAATATTTTCAATGAATGAAAACGAAAATATGACGATATTCGAAGTTGGAACTTTTACGAAGAAAATAAGATATTTATTATGCAATTAATTTTTTTTATGGAAGCGTTTTAGAGATATGCATTTTTTTTAATTTCTGAGGTGTTTTGACGTTATAGAGTATACTTCGAGTTCTAAATGATTAATTTGACCAAACAAGCACTTAAATAAAAGTTAATTAAGCCCTCTACAACATTCTCTTGTATAGTTTTAGTATCGGCTCAGTAGTTCGATACTGGCAATTTTATGAAGTTGAAAAAGTCTTTTTTTTATAAAAATTGATGTCGAAAATTTACATATTTTTCTGGGGAAGATAGAAATCGAAAGATAAGTCCAGTTTGATTTATTTTACGTATATATTATAAGGAAAAAAATAAGCTGTTGTTGATAAAAATCCATCAGTGGAAGAGCAAAATTCAGTTTTTTATTTTAAACATTAAATAGTGAAATTAAATTATATATTGAACATTGAAGATATTGAAAGTTTTATTTTGTTGTAATAAGCATAGGTTTAAAAAATCTGGCTCCTTCCTTGTTTTTTGTTGCTTTCGTATTTCGTTTCTCGTATGAGGGACCAAATTTAATCACCAATCATGGCTGCATCCCAGAAGCCGTGATACCGCCGCTCCATAGCCTTCATTTGCTGGTGAAAACGTTCTCCGTGCTCATCACTTACGTCGCCCAGATTGTCCGGGTTATTTACGCACTTGAACTATCTACTTCTTATACTCATTTTACACTTTTTATTAACTAAATAAAACCATGATAAAAATACCTTGTTGAAATATCAAAAAATAGCAGTAAAATGTCACTATAAAAGAATTCACGTTTGCGTAGTCATGTCAAATTTAAATTTTAAATAATGTTTTCGGTGAAAAAAACACGTAAGAAACTAAAAAAATTTCAATCATGCACTTTAATTAGGTTTTCATTAAAGAATAAACATATTACAAAATAAAAAAATTAAAATAAAAATCGTCAAAAAGCTGAATTTTGGTCTTCCACTAAAAAATTCATAACTTCGCAATTTTTCCATGTATTTTTATCAACATTAGCTTGTTTTTTTGTAAAAATGTTAGCTTCACGAAAAAAAAATCAAACTGGAGTTATCTGTTTGATTTAAACCTTTCCCAGGACGATATGTAAATTTTCGACCTAAATTTTTGCCATAAAAACGAATTTTTCAAGTACTAAAATCGATAGTGCCAAGAGGGCTCAAATACCTTCAATTTAAGGGCTTGTTTGACCAAATCGATCAATTAGATTTCAAGTGTGATTTTCGTGTTTTGTGGGTCAAAATACATGGGAAAATTAAATGGAATATGGTGAGCAGATTTTTTTTTCGATTTTGTAAACTAGTGTTATTAGTCAAACATTTCAAGCTTTATTTGTTGAAGTATTGTCTTTGAGTCAAGTGCTCTTAAAAAAATTAAAATAATGTTCTTAGTGCTGTAACACTTAATATTTTAGTTAAAAATGCGACACTTGACAGAAACTCTGCGAATAGCAATATTAATGATGATTGGTTACGATGATATTTGCAGATCACAAGAGCAAGTTTCGAACTTTTTTAATGGAAAACACCCACCACTTTCTCAGGCAACTGACCAACCAATTCTACGCTTCAGGTTGCACGTAAAAATGACGTTAGTCATTCGACTGTTTTGGGATGTGCAAAATACGAAAAAATGCATTCATATAAACTACAACACGTACAAGAATTGATTGACGGTGATTCTGATGAAAAATTGCAATTTTGCGAGCAAATCTTGGATATGTTAAACAGGAATGTTATTTATTCTGCAGATGGGTGAATCTCACGAAATGTCCTCCGATGGTGTTACCCCGTGATATTTAATAAAACTAAATGAGTTTGACCTACACTTTTATTGTATTTTGATCTTTCATAATTAAGTAGATAGTACAGCTCATGTTCCAGATTTTTAACCGCAATTAATTATTTTTTACAATGTTGTAAAAGTCTAAAACCTATCCTCCGTGACTGTTACTCTTTCTAGGTTAACCTATATGTTTTCAAATATCTGAGGTAGTAAAAGCATACTAAAAATATCAGTTCACTAAGTAAATTAAACACATCCAAGGCAATCGAATCAAATATAAAATATTATTAAAAATTAAAAGAAATAATTTTTATAACCATTTATGTAGGTGTTACAAAAATTGATTCTATCCTCAGTGAATTTGTTTTTGCTTTAAATTTTATGCAACGGATGGAGCTTTAATCATTTTAAATAAGCAAAAACCTCTGTTTACGACATTATAGATGCATGTGATTCCTGAAGGTCAGTTGGAATTTATATGCAGATGAGAGTGTTGCTGTTTTATAATTCAAAAGTTTAAGTTCATTAATTTGCTATTTAAAAACCTATCCACCGTGAAGTGCAATATCTCAGTAAGTAGATTTTTTTAATAAATATTTTATGTATGTACAATTGTATTTTTTAAAAATATTAAGGTGTCAAAAGATACAATAACTTATTTCAAATATACGAAGAGATGTTTTAAAAAAACCTAGCAAATCCTAACCTCCGTGAAGCTCTAATATTCAAAATGTATGATTTCTTAAAATCAGTGAAACAACAAAAATAAAAAATAATCATTTTCACTTGGGGGACCAATATATTCACCCAGATATTCTTCTTTCTGATAAATCAACATTTTTTCTAAATGACCAGGCGGAAGAAAAAATATTTTTGAACTTACCAGGATTATTTGCAATGAATCGTAAAGCAACAGCACCAAACTTGGGTACTCGTATGGTATCCTTTAGAACAGGATTGTTGAAATTCCTCTTCATTAGCTTGTATTCGGCATCCAAAGCTTTAGCCTGGTCCACAGATATGGATTTATCGAAAACATGCTTTCCAACAACGTAAAAATGATAGCCGTGTAGATGAAATACATGTTCCTCCTCGTCCCCTCCTGAAAAAGCCATTTGCATAAAACATCGGGTTTGATATAAATGAACTTGTTCATTGCGTTTTCAGTAATACAAAACGGGTAGAGTCCATTATCTAATAACAAAGCCGTTCTTTTTTTATTCGTTTTCTTTCAATAGCCCGAGAATTTTATTTTCAGCGAGTAAAATCGCTTAGAGAGAATGCACTCGTATTGAATAAGGTTTATTTGCAGAGAAATGTTTTTTAAAAGTAAATTGTTCAAGCATAAGTGAGTCTAGTTAGTTTTATATTCGATATAATAGGCGAGTTTTTTCCTTTTCCAATTTCAACAGTAGGTACAGGGTGATCCCCTTTAACTTTTTTATTTTAAGTGTCCCAAAAAATTTAAAAGTGTGGTTATGTAGGACATAAAAAATACTTTTTTTACGTATAAACAAAATTGGAAAATTTATCAGTATACAGGGAAAAACAAAAAGTTTATTTTTTTTTCAGTGGATCACCCTATATATTAATTTATTTTTCGATTCCTTGCAAAATTCTGATCATAATTTATATAACAAACCATATACCTAAATTCAACTGTTTCTGAAATATTCGCATTCGAAATGTTATCATTAAATATTTTTTTAAACGGTTAGAAATCAAGAAGCTACAGTATACCAAAATTTTTATTGAAAATAAATTACTATAGTGACATTATGTCAATATGTCTTTTTAAATAAGTAAAAATGGCGTACTCAGACAGGGAAAGACAAACTATTTCAAATTAATATCTTAAAAATAATTTAAATATTTCAGAAACGGTTGAATTTAGGTATATGGTATGTTATATGAAATATGCTTAGAATTTTACAAGGAATCGAAAAATAAATACATATAAAGGGTGATCCATTAAAAAAAAATAAACTTTTTGTTTTTCCCTGTATACTGATCAATTTTCCAATTTTTTTTATACGTAGAAAAAAAGTATTTTTTAGGGCCTACATAACCACACTTTTAAATTTTTTGGGACACTTAAAATAAAAAAGTTAAAGGGGGGCGACATTATAGGGGATCACCCTGTACATATGTTGCTATAATATACGTACACAGTAAAAAAATATTTGTTAATTTTAACCAAATGTTAACTAGATTTTATGTTAATCCAGGTCTACATAACTTTATGTAAAGTTTACAACCAACTGTAATCTGTTAACTAATTGAATAATTAATTTGTAATTATATAACAAACATTTTGTAGATTTAATAACAAAATCCTGTCAATATTTTAACCATAATTTTGTAACTTTTGTATTTTTACAAACCTTTTTGTAGACCAAGTAACAAAAGTATTTTTTGTTCTCACCAGCATCGATAAACAGCTGTTTCCCTTTTTGGGAACATCAGTACCGAGTTGCTGTATGGTGCATTTATGTTATAACACAAACGAAATTATGATTTCTCGTCCTTATAAAGGTTTTGAAATCATTCACTGCGGTGAGGCGAAAGTAAGTGGTGCCACCTACCGTCTTAAACATATAACATAAAGAACATGTCAAAAGACGGTAGATGGCACCACTTACTTTGGTCTCACCGCAGTGAATGATTTCAAAACCTATATAAAGACGAGGAATCATAATTTCGTTAGTTAGTTAAACTTGTTAATGCGTATTCTAAATGGGAAAAGTTTTGAGTGACTGCCTGAAATCACGTACTTTTTTAACGAAATAATTTGTTAAGCATTAACAAAATAATCTGCAACCTTTAAAATTAACAAAATGCTTACAAAACTTTCGGTAAAATATTTTTGTTTGTTAAAATATTTACAAACCCTTGTTTTCAACAAAAAAATTATGTTAAAATTTTACAAAATAAAATTAACAAACTGTTAACAAATATTTTTATAACAGTGTACAACAAAATATTTACCTTGGTCGATTAGGATGATTTCTGTGCTAGATCCTAGTGGTATATATTCAACATGGAAACATTCACAAATACTAAACTTTTTTTTCGAACATTTATCAGGAATATTCAGTTCATTGCAAGGCATATCCACTGGAACATCGTCTGGCTGAGTTAAAACTGGTGATGGAGGAAACGTGAACGTCAAATTGTTGATAGCATAGATTTTGGATTTTAAATTTGTAAACCCACCTAAAACATCAAGCTATAATAATATATATATATAAAATATATATATTAAAATGAAATAGTCAAAATTCTACTATCACTACTAGCATTTTTTACTAATAAAATAGTCGTTTTCACTTTTAAATAGTTATTTTTTACTACGTTAATAGTTAAAGTTTGACTAATTTAAAATTAGTCACCATCTTTGACTGCATATAGGCTCCATGGTTAAATGGCCCCCAAAAACAAACAAAGATACAAAATGTTTAGGTCAAAACAGCAACTTTAAAATATTTATTGAGAAATAAAATTGAATTTTATAAGAGTGATTGATAGCCACATTGGTTATGACAACAGCTTGACAAGTGACAGACCTGAGTTCAATCCCCGGCTGGGTCAAAACTTTTTTAAATTTAAATCTACTAATTTGACTATTTCATTCAGTAGAATTTGACTAATTAATAATGACTGCTTTTTCGATATGACAATTAGTAAAATATGACTTATAATTAGTTATTTTTGACTAATTCATTTTAAGATAGTACCTTTACTATAGTAAAAGAAAAATAGCAAATCTAGTAAATATGGGAAATTTTTTAACTTGGTATACATTGAACAATCAAAGAAGTGTTAACAAGTATTATGTCTGAGGAAACACTTAACTAAATACATAACCTACATTTGTTACACTACTTAACATTTTATCCCCATGTTATTATGTTTAATGCATTATCAATACATATTACATTTGCTAATAAATCAAACATCTGATGGTTTTGATGTATAAGCTAAGCCTTGTGATTGCGTATTGGAAAAAATAATAAGTGAAAGTAATGTAAAGAATTTCATGGTCTATGACATAATGCATGATAGTGTGCAAAGAAATGGAGAAAGTATTTATACATATATAGTATTTATAGTACGCTCCCAGATTGACTTCAAATTGGTTGTAATCTACCAAAAGAATATTAGTAGACAGTTATCGGACACTTTATAGTTATTGGACAATTAACATTAATACTGTAAAAACAAGAGTTCTATAAATAGTTACCTTAAAGTCAAATCATTAGATGACTCTGAATACAATTATAACTATCTCAGTCGGTAATAATATAGAACTACTTTATTTTGGGTCCAATACAGGACAAACAAGTTCGCATGTTACTTTGGTGGTAAAATTTTTGTTTTTTGTTAAGAGCAGGGCTGTATTTAAATTACAATAAAAAATATTTCAAAAAAGTGTGTGGTATAAATGTGTTCCTAATGGTTTAAACATTGTCACTTTAATGAGTTTTACTTTTAATTCTAAAAACAAACAGTAAAATGGGCAGAGTCCAATTACTGGTGGGTAAAAAATGTAAATTTTTATTATTGGACAAATGTTCAATATCAGACTCTATTTGTATCCCGAACATTTATCTGGCTTGGCTATTCTTATGTAAAATTGTCCCCTGAATCCAAAAAGATCGTCAAAAAATATAAAAGTTAAGCAGTTTTTGAGATATAGTCAATTCCATATTATATGTAAAATTAATTATATTTCAAAAACTGTTCTACTTTTATAACTTTTGACGACATTTTCGGATTCAGCAAATAATATTTCATAGGAATTGACTGCTAAATGTCCTGGATACAAATTGCTGTTGACGAGAATTATTACTGGCTGCTTTTTTGCTTTGACATTTTTGACTAATTCATTTTTAGATAGTATACTATAAGTAATATAGTGATTTCTTCATCACAGGACATCTTGCAGAATAACAGTGATTTAAATACAGTGCATGATAGAGAACATAATAAACTAATGGCAACAAAATTAATAAATTCGGAAAATACTTTTAACATACCACCCGAAAAAATATTAGATATACATAAATCATCCTGTTCCGGCCTAAACATTATAAATGCTAGAGATACCACACTTAATGATATTTGCAACAAACTATTTCAGAAGTCAGATCAAGAAATTAGTAATTACCTTCAGAATCCAGAAAAGGAATGAGGAATCCGAGAAAGAAATACATGAATTATATGATATTAACAAAAACGAAATAAAAAATTACCTACAACAGCAATTTATCTTTAAAAAATATTTAACAATTCATGTTATTTGATGTGAAGTTTTCATGTTTATATAAAAATTGTATGTCCAATAACTATGGTTCATGTGTCCAATTATTATATAAAATTTCCAATTACTATATTTTTTTGCATGTTTTTATAAAACTATTATTAAAAATTCAAATATTCTTATTTTTAAGTAAACGTTAATAAAGCTTAAACAAACAAACTATCCTTGTTATATATTTATAAGAAAAAAACTATTATTATATAAAATTTCCAATTACTATATTTTTTTTGCATGTTTTTATAAAACTATTATTAAAAATTAAAATATTCTTATTTTTAAGTAAACGTTAATAAAGCTTAAACAAACAAACTATCCTTTTTATATATTTATAAGAAAAAAACTAAAAAACAACATATATAAATTTTAAATAAATAACTATGTGGTTTACCCTACCACCTTTATTTTTTAAAGTCAAAGTTAATTCGGGAATACAGTGTATAAATTTAAATATATAGTGACCGGTAAGTATGAAACAAATTCATTAAAAAATGTGCCTCTTTTCCCCAAAAAAATCCTGGACCACGTCGATTATGCTTTTTAATTTTGCACATTTTGATGTCAAATTTTTATATCTGCCGCCATTTTTGTAGAAACTATGACGTCATCGGGCGTTTTTGAAAATTGTACATCAAAACATTATTAAAAACTATAAATTTTCCTCTTTTAATAATTGAGATTATTCGAACCTCCAAAAAAAGATGGGGGTACAATTTTAAAAATTGCCGATTCTACAAAAACTTCGGAAAATATGAAAATTCTACATGAATTAATTTAAACTTAAAATTTAATATAAAATACTGAAAAACTGATGATGGTTGAGGATTACTTTTTAATAAAGCAGCATTCTTTTTACGGCACACGGAGAGAAAATTATAATGCTGATTACCATAATTATAATACCCTTTACTATAATTTAATTACTATTTGGGACAACTATCTTGTATATTGCAAGATAATTATGCATATTTAGTAATTTTTAAATATCCATGTATGTTAAACCTTAAGGTAAAATATTATTATTCTCAACCAATTTTGTTTTTAATTCTTATTATAATTAGATTTTCTCCACTACTAATAAGTATAGTAAATTTTAAAATAGTATGTTGCCATTTTAAATATAAAATATTTTAAAATCGAATATTTTATATGTTAACAATTAAAAATTGTAACATATTTATTGTACTTTTTAATATACAAAAATGTTATGAGAAAGAATTGAACCTACACCTCGCCAAAGTTTTTTGATTTGCGTGCGTTCCATCAACTTCAAATACCGACATACAGGTGTTTTGACCTACATTGTTTATTATCAGTGTCGACGAAACTGTCGAGCAACTTGTAGTAGTGGAACACACCCAAAACAAAGAAATACCTGAGCTTATATAACATGATTGGTAAGCCAACAGAGGCGAGATGTAAGAACATCACGTGATCCACACGGTCTAACGACGCGTCGCGACGTGGCCTTTGCCGCAAACGGTACATAGTATGCAACCAAGTAGGTTCAATTCTTTCTTATAAGTATTACCAGTAATGGGTCAAGAAAGTTTATTAAAGAAACTAAGAAAATTGAATGTTTAAAATGTCATGAGTTACTATCTTGTATATTATATTTAAATATATTGTTTATTTACCTTAAACATAAAAGTATCTTTATTTTTACTATATTTTTTATTAATGTGTAATATATTATAATATTAGATGTATACATTTGATTATAATATTATAATATTAGATGTATACATTTGATTAAATCATATAGTAAATATTACTATTTGTAGATAGTTAAATCAATTTACTATACGAACATATTAAAAATTAAAATATATATTATACATTTATGATTTAGTAATATTGGTGTTGTAATCTTTACTAAAATTGTATAATAAAAAATCGTATTTTGTATTGCAATCTTAATATTGTATTGACGAATATATTGTTACCCTAAAAATTTGTTAAAGTAAATTTTACTATATTTTTTTACTATCTAAAATTTACTATACATTTCTCTCCGTGCATATTCTGAACTACCAAAAATGTAATTATACTTACAATTAATGGGTGTTCTTTTTTAATAAAAACGCATAAATCTCCTACAAAAAAAACTAATAAAACTTACCTTCGTGCGCGTCCTTATTGCGGAGCTTGTAATCAAAACCGAGATATATCTTTCTGCCGACTTCGTATTCCCTCAGTTCATTCGGCATTTTATTAAGCGCCTTAACGTTTTTCAGACAAACTTTCCCGATCTCGCTGTCGCAGATAGCCGTATCAAACACCCTAATCCTATCGTCCGCCTTGACCTGATTCTTGAGCGGGAATTCCTTCTTCGGCACGCCCTCGTAGTTGATGACTCCTAAACCTGTTAGATCGTCTTTGCATTGCGAGGCGAGACGCAGGAAATGAGCCCCGATTTCCTGATCGGTTTTCAGCACGAAGTCCATCCTCTCGCCTTTGCCCAAAGTAGCGAAAGACACTTCGTACGGTGTGATCGGGGCACCATCCAAAGCTATCACTTTCAGTTTGTGGTTATCAATTGAGAAGGTTATGGGGCAACCCAAGTACCCAGAAGTATAGGCGACCCTAAAACGATACCTCTTTCCCTTCTGGACGGTGAATGATGCTAAAGACGATGTACCTTCCGGTGAGTACCTCCCATTTATCAACAACGTCTTGGGGGTATCATCGTCAATCTTGTAGTCTCTGGTTAAGTCTCTGGACCACTCAGATATCAAAATGACGTGATCTTTAGCATCAATATCGTACAACTTTCTATGTGGCTCTATTTTATCCGCTTCTCTAACTACCAAAGCTCCAAACAAACCGTCCGATCTATCAGCATCCGAAAACGCCTGCCAAAAGTGAGTGCCAGCTCTACTCGCTCTAAACTTGTATTGAAACGTCGTGTAACTCGGTATGGGGCACTGCGAAATCATCGGACTTCCATCCATGAAAGGGGCTTCGTGATTGGGCTGGCCTCTCCAGTGTACCGTGAGACTATGACTCGGTATTTTATTGATAACATCCACAACCAAAATGTCGCCTTTGCAAACTTGGATGGGGGGGCCTGGTAACTGACGGTTGGCAGTGATAATGCCCCTGGGGCTGCCGTCTGCGCTCGCGCAGTTCTTGTTCTCGCAGTCGGTTGAGTTTAAGGGGCAGTTTTGACACTCTCTGCGAAAAAAAATTAAAAGTGGTTTGTTTTTAGAGGGTGGGAGAGGTACTTACTTGGCCATTGTCTGGTACATTTCTATGTTAAGTTTCAGTCTACATATCATTGGCCAGTCTAGTTCATGGCATGGTCTATCACAGTTTTTAAATCTTTGATCTGAAACAATACAAATATTTCAATACTTAAATATTTAATACATAAGTGTTGTCGACAATTGCATATTTTTTGTCGTGCTTAATTTTAATTTAAATGGTCCATTGTCATTTGTAATTGAATTTTATGGACAATGCATAAATTGTCCTTCCTCTTCGCAATTTTATTTGATTTTACCCTTTTGCCCTATAAAACTGACGTTGCAAAATCAATAGATCAGCATTAACTTTTCATTTGAAATATGGGAATTGCTTAAATAGGTCAAATTTCTAAAAGGGTCCAATTAAACTTTACCTAGACAACCTTGTCAGTTTTAAGTAAAAAAAGCACTTAAATTTAATATTAATTTGTGCGAAAGCTGTTAAAAATACTTAAATAAATTATACCATTGAATAATTTAAATGCATACCAAAATCTGCATTCATAAACAAAATAAGAAGTAAACCTTTAAATAATGTCGTAAAAAGTGTTTTTATCCGAATTCGTCAGTAAAGTAGTCAACAATCGGCAGTAAAGTAATATGAGTATTGTATGCAACTAATTATACATTTTAAGATGTGTCTACTGCTCCTCAGCGGCAACTAAATAATATTTAAAAAAAGCACCGACGCGGAGGTCGATTGGACCCTTTCATAAAATAAAATAATAAGTTAATTTTATTAATTAGATTAAAAAATCGCCGCGGCGGGCAAATATATAATAACCGTCGCTACAAACTGTATACGTAGACACTTCCTACATTCAAATGACATTTGATTTAATCATCAATATTAATTATTAGTATTATTAAATGTGATTTCGGATAAAATTTAATATGCACCTCGGCATTAAAACCATTTTTATCACTCACTTGGTTATTTATAATTTCCACATTCGTGATAAAAAATACGACTTTACTGCCTTGATACATAAATAACTATTTTATAGACTCACTTCAAATTATTAATTGGGCAATAAAAACCTTCCGTATTTACACCTTGGAAAAATATACAAGCTATTTTTCAAAAGATTAAGTGTTTCTTCAACTTAAAGCCATGTCAGATATCCAACATACGAGGTGTGTTCAGAAAATATCATGATATCATGTTGTCGCCTTCAAAATAGTCCCCATTGGATATTATGCACATGTGCCAGCTCTTCTTCCAATACTCGAAACCCTTCTAAAACTCGATATTTGAGATAGCCTTTAGTTCTTTCAGCGATGCGCTTTTAATGTCATCTATGCTTGCAAAACGACGGCCCTTTAAGGTTCTCTTTATTTTTGGAAATAGGAAAAAGTCAGACAGGGGCATGTCTGGCGAATATGGAGGCTAGGACAGTATTGTTTTTGGCCAAAAATTTTGTTCAAAATTTAACAATTTTGGAACAAATTTTGCTGCCACGCGTTTCATACCCAAAACATTCGAAAAAATTTCATGAGATGAGCCAATCGATATACCAACATCATCAGCGACTTCTCTGATGGTTTATAACCATTTCTTCCACTTTTTCCATATTTTTATCGGTTGTTAATGTGCTTGGGCGTTCGGGGCGTTCGTCATCTTCAACGTCTTCACGGCCATCTTGGAAACTCTTATACCACTTGTAAACTCTTGTTTTACTTATAGCAGACTCAATATAAGCCCTTGTTTACATTTCACATAATTTATTTAATTTTTTAGGCAAAATTGGATAGAAATTCTTTGAACCATTTCTTTTAACGAACGAAAATCGCCGAGCTCATAAAACACGTCTAACCTTAGCGGCTGCCACAGACAAAGTAAACGATGAAAACAGCTAAAGTTTTTATCATACTTCGGGGGCATGTATACCAACATAATAAAGAAAATTTTATGACAACCGGACCCTCCGAACACGCGAAATTTAACAATTCCCGTTATTTTCTGAACACACCTCGTATATCTGAAAAAACATCATAACTTATTTTCATATTTTTATACTCTAAAATTTGACTAACCAGGACTTGAGACGCAAATCTTATCCTCGTAAATAATAGCCCGCATTACCTCCTGTATACACTATTATTAAAACAATAAATAGGGTTTTTAATAATTAAATTACTTTCTACTTATTAAATTATTACATATATCTGCACAAAAATAATAGAAAGGTGTAGATTAATCTAAATCAATTAATAAACAATGTTATAAAAAAGTAAATATAAAAAACATGAATTGCAATATTTAGCTAATTTAGAAAAGCGAAAAAACAAACTTTTATTAGTTTTTGTGACATTTTAAATTAATTTCTTCTTTGGTAATTTTATCGCGTTTTAAAGATACTTTATTATAATTAAATAGAATACTTAGTTAAAACTCTATACAAAACATATGTTTACTTTCCTATTTTATTATCACTGCCATACAAAATTGCGAATAAAAGATTTTATTAATATTTTATTTTGAATACTTGTGGGTGTATAAATTTAAATAAAATATGTTTCTGTAGCGTAACTTTAATCCCAGTGGAGTAGTTTTGGGTTTTATAGGGTAAGTACTAAAATGAGATTGGGGTGTATAATAGTATATTATTATACGAAAGATAATGCGCATAATCTCGAGTGTAATACTACTTTATATAATAATTTTCAAAAATAATTAAATAAAATCTGACTTTTTACCAATTTTAAATGTTATTATTATTACACTTATAAGTGTATAGTGTCATGAAATCATACGATAAAACGATAATGGTCGTTTAAAAGGTGAGAATAGAAAAAATTTGTTAAATTATTATTCTCCTCATAAATAATAACGTTCATACACAGTAAAAAAAATCAACTCTAAGGAACACTAATTAGAGTTCACACAGGTCCACACTAAATAGTTATGTTTTATAACACTACAATTAGAGTTAATTTGTAGTGTAATTTTCCCCAAGTAAGCAAGTATGATTTAACACTATAGCACTGAGGATAAAGTAATTTTAAACTGTATTAAAAAGTGTTAATTTACCTAAAATCGTGTACTTCCTACTACACTTCCTGGGTAAAATCCCACTTTTATTCAGTGTAAATTAACACTACTTTGGAAAAGTTCTAATTTTAGAAAGGTACTTTTACTCTTTTAGTGCAAACTTTTAGTGTAAATTAACACTATTATTTGGGTAAAACCTATTGGTGGTAGTAAATAAAACGAAAAGGTAAATAAAGAGAAACATTTATTTGGAACAAATGTATATGACAATTATGAAAATCGGTGCCTTTTAAAATATAATTTTATATTTGAGTCGTATGGCTGGCTTAAGCAAAATGGTTTCTTAAATCGTAAACGTTTTAGATCAATGCAATGTTTTACTGGCTGTCAACTTGTAAGCAATGAATTATCTTGAGAATTCATCAGTAATCCATTTTTCTGTTATAAAAAATGTGTGATCCCATTGGTAGAGAGGCGTCAGGCGGCTGTATGTCGGGGATTTACCACACGTGTACAAATTTTCCATAATATTAATAAAAATGTAGGTAGGTATAGGTTAATATAATAACCATTACGCTTGAAAATAAAAAGTAAATCAAGTGTGAATGTATTTATTTTATTAATGTTACAAGTACCCGACCTACTGCCGTAAATTATTGATATATAATATAGGTCGGGTATGGACATTCTTTTAACATATTGGTATTTATTGAGTATTAAGGCCTAAAGAAAAAGGAAGTATAATACTTCAAAAAATAAGAATGTCCCCTTATGGATTCACCGTAATTAAAATCTAACTGAACAAAAATGCCACACTTCCACAACGCGGTATCTCCGGATATGCACTGCGTAGGTAGATAGATACCAACCAAACATTTTAAAACGCATTTCGGTTATTACCAGTATTTTGCCACTATTGGTGTAATTTAGCTTTAATTGTGATACAATGTGCACAGGTAGTGTAAAGAAAAAAGAGCTCTTAGTAACATCAAAACAGACAAAGAAATTGGCATGCACTGTAGTGTACATTTTGTCACTATTTAACACATTAAGGGGTAATAAACACTCGTATTAAGTTTTTCTACCCTTTTGATTTATTTTAATAATAAATAATGTAAATGTACCAATGAATAATGCTCATATTCTTAATAAAGTTAATAAGCACTAAATCCCACCACCTAGTGTAACTTTTATACTTACAAATCAACTCTAATATTTTTACCCCTACACTAAAAAAAATTCCACGGGCAAAATGTTTTACTGTGTATTAATGTCTATATTTGTAATGGCCGATTTGCAGAAAAAACTATCCATGATGAAAAAATTACCCAGCCTTAATTTAAGCAACAAAATTTCTCTTAATACGTATTATTCCAAAATTGCTGGTTTAACACCAAACAAGTAAGTAGTGGATTGGAAATCTCTCCCCACATCATAAACGTGAAACAAGTACCGTTTCCAATAATGCTTTCATTAATATCGCCTCGAGTTATGAGAGAAAGTCGGTTTATCTCGGTATTTATCATCACCATCCATTGGACATTTTGGTACGTTGGTAATGACCTAAGCAATGATGCTTAAGCTTTCTGCTAATGCAGCATATCATACAGAGAAAAGTGAAAATAGGTTTACCAGTAAATTATCATCGTAACAAATGTATCTACAACTTTTGATAATCAGCTGTCAAACGCGTGTGTTACAAACTAATGTTTTTGAGAATAAAGCCAGAAAATGTAAAAAAATATCGAAAAAAAATCGTGTCAAGATTTGTTGTGTTGTTGGGTGTATTTCGAGAGGAAATCCTGGGTTGAGTTTTTATCGGTTTTCCAATAAACAGTGTTAATCCGAATGAAGAAATAAATTTCATACAGTCGCTGTAAATATAAATTGTACCTATTAGATACAATAAATACACATTTTAGTAATGATTAACGCGAAAAGTGTAAACATTTCAATTCAGTAATAATCGGCAAACAAATAAGTCGTCTAAATTTTAACAGCATTTAGCATTATTAAAAGCGGTAAAATACCATTATATTATGTATTAATTATAATATTGTGTTGGCATGAATTCGTAGGTATATTTTG